TGGCACCAGAACAAACAAACAAAAAGACATAGTATTTGCCTGTAACCTACAAGTGCTTCCAACCTGTATTCTTTAGATTGGCTCTAGGTAACTTCTTAAGATAGGTAAGTGCTGTGTAAACCATTGCACTGTCTGGTAGAGCAGAGTAAAGTTGCAGATGTCAACCTAATGACATCAGAGTCTCACTATATAGCCCAGGTTGGGTTTGAACTTGTGATCCTCCTGCCTCTAATTCCCTCAGGAACTTGGATTACAGATATGTGTCACCGATGCCTGATGGAGGTAATAATGTGTTTTTCTTTTCCAAATTTTTTTTATTTATGTGTGGTTGAATCCACAAATGTAGAACCCACAGATACAGAGGGCTATCTGTATTTTTTTTAATTTTATTGTTTGTTTTAACTCAGGGCCAGGATATTCTCCTTTAGCTTTTTTTGCCCACGACTGGCACTCTGCCACTTTAGGGCACCTCTGACTTTTTGCTGGTTAATTGGAGATGACAAGAGACCCACAGCCAGCCTGGGCTGGCTTCGAAGCTCAATCCTCAGTTAGATTTCAGCCTCCTGTGATTACAGGCATGAGCCACCAATATTTGGCCTATATTAGTGTTATTAAGAAGGTAAAAACTAATGTAGAAACAGTAAGATCTACCTTCTGTTAGCTTAAACATGCCCAACTAATTTTAATTTCTTTCTTGCCTTTCTCTTTTCTATCTTGTTACCTTTTATTCTTCAACTTGTGTACAGAAAACCTAGGTTCCCTAGTGGCTTTTGTAATCTGAGAGCTTCTGTATCCATTTCTTAGGCCTGCTGATGTCTCCAATGCTAGACTTGCCTGAATTAGATTGAGGGGAGAAGGGTAAAGTGAAGATCTGGGTAAGGTCTGGGACAGGATGAGGAATTGCAGACTGGCTTCTGGTAAGGAATTTCTGACCCCACAAGAGCAGTTTATGGAATCAGAATGACGGTTAGACCCTTTAGCTGAGAGAAAGAATAAGTACATGTGTTTGTATGGCTGTGTGCATATGTTGACATTAATTATTTGGTACTGTTAGTATTTCTGTTGTGCTTGTGAAGACTTCTTATTGCTACCCATGTATGATTGTCATGCATTGTGAATTATTCCTCTAAGGAACAGAGAGATCACTTTCACAGCCCAAATGACTGGCTTTCCCGCTAGGTTGGCTTTGGGCAATGGAAGAGCCTTTCAGGTCAGTTTCATTGATCTGTATTTACTAATCTATATTGGGCCAGGTTATGTGCTGGCACTGGGGGACACATAAATAGATCGCTAGGAATAGTCTTAGAAGGAATGAGGTGTGTCTTCATGTCATTGATCTCTTGAGAACCATTGGTTTGCTTAGCAGAGTGAGGGCTTCGGATAGTGTGGATGTTAGATTAATGCCAAGGGTTGAAGGGATCAAAGCAGGCTTTATGTTCTGTGCAAGAGCCATGCAGCTTAGAGAACTGGAGGGGAAGTTGCCTGTGAGACACAGATCTCACCTAATCCCACTTTCAATTTCAAGGGTGCCAAGTGTGGGCAGCAGGCCCTCTGTGCAGCCCCAGAATCTGTATACTTTGTGAAGCTGAGCTGCTACTTATTCCTTTTTGTGTGATAGGAACAGGAACAGGAACTTCTATCTCATGGACTTGCTATGGGGTATGAAGCATCCTTTGGATGTGCTAGATAGTGGATCTCTCCCTTCTTTTGTCTTGCTCACTCTGGGAGACTGTACTTGTATTCATCCTCTTTGACCATCTGACTTCAAATGCTTTTCTTTTAATTTAACAAAAAGAAAAAAAAGCTTTTCTTTGGCTTTTGCCTCATTCTTCCTAATGGCCATGAAAATTGTGGAGTGGGACAGGGGGCGGGGGGTGGGGGATATGGCTACAGCAATGGGGAAAGTTCAAGGTATGCAAACTGTGTCTGTAGTCACCTTGACTCCCGGTATCTCAGACAGGCCCCCTATTTTGGATGTTCCCCTGTAGGACCCAGCTCAAAGTGTATGTAACTGTTGCTCAGATGATTTCTTGCTGAGTGTTAAAGTTTCACTAAACTCCTTCATCCAGGAAGTCTGCTTACTTTGCCTCCTTCTCTACCATTTTGCTTCACAGTGCTAAGACAGGGGAAAGGGCTTCTTTGAGAAAGGAACACTCACAGATGTTGTGTCCAAGCAATTAGGAAAATCTTTAATAGGATGTAAAGAGGAGGGCCTGGGATGGTTGGGCCAAGTAGAGGAAGATAGGAATGAGTTCCTGAAAAGAATGTTTATATATGCCCCCCACCACTTCACCCCACCCTACCTGTTGAGAGGTCAGAGCCCTGGCAGTGACAGGGGTTAAAGTTTCAGGTTCCTCCTATCTCTCCATTGACTTATCTTGATACTAATTTAGGCCTGCAGCCAGTCAGGGACTTGCCATCAACCTCCTTAAGAAATATTTCTGTCCTTCTGGCACCCTTCACCTAGCCCAGACTCCTCAAAAATCTGGAGAGCCCAGCTGCCTGCTCCAATGATTTCTAAGTGGCTACTATGTTTCCAATCTAAGGTAATTGGCTTTACCAGTTATTAATGGATTACTCTAAAGAGGAAAAATGTTGGGAGAAGGGAGATGAGCCCAATACCTACTGCTTTGTAGTTTAATTCTTCAGTGTTCAGTGGCAGCTTCTAAGGTTGGCGATCTCTTGGGGCATATGACCAAGAATGTTTTGGTGCTGCCATTCTGTGGTAGAATGGCTGGCAACAGTCCTGTGGGAGAAGGAAGAAAATACTGGTACATGGACCTGGAGGAAGTCTTGGCTTTAGGCATAGGAGCCCCAGGGTATCCCATGTGGCCTTGATATCCACTTGAGGAGGACACCAGCCCTACAGTTTTGACGATGAACCAGCAGCTTGGCCCTAACATCTCCCTCATCAGCAACTGGCAGCAGCTCTCTACCCACTCTGGCTACTGGCTTTTTCAGCACCTGTCCTGTGGGAGCACAGGTGCTGGGTGAGGCAGGTAGACAGGCTATGTTCACATTGCTAACATGTCATTAGTATGTCCAGTCTCTTTTCCGCCAGGCCAGACATGTAGGAACAATGCCCAAGGCTGCCTCAAGGCTTCTGAATGACAACTGCTTTCAAATTTCCTGCTTGCCATTAGGTTTCCCAAAGGCTTTCCCTCCCACCCCTGCCAAATCCTTTAACAAAGGACTGGTCTGGCTCAGAGGTTCAAGTTCTAGTCCTAGTACTCTGGCTAACCTGGTTCATTGCACTAACCCTTTGTAAGAGCTGTGCCTCCTCTTAATATGGGATTGCAGATTGTCTTATTTTGAAAGTTTAGGGCGTTGGTGGCTCACGCCTGTAATCCTAGTTACTTGGAAGGCTGAGATCTGAGGATTGAGGTTCAAAGCCAGCCCAGGCAGGAAAGTCCCTGAGACTCATATCTCCAATAAACCACGCAGAAATCCAGAAGTGGTGCTGTGGCTCAAGTGGTAGAGTACTCACCTTAAGCTGAAGAGCTGAGGGATAGTGCCCAGACTCAGAGTTCAAGCCTCACGATGGACAAAAAAAAAAAGAAAGAAAGAAAAAAGAAAAGAAAATTTAGGGTGTATAAGAGACACTAGAAAATACAGCTGATGGTCTTTCTTGCCTCTTGGTGGAATTTGGCAGTGTTTTTGGAGATTGTTCCTAACCCCATCACCCAGGGAATTTACTCACCTTTACTCTTTGTCCTGTTCTCACATTGGAGCATTTACACTTGCCCTAAACTGGCACCACATTTCCAGATTCTCCTAGCTCTTCAACCTTTTAGGAATGTCCTTAGCTGCCCTGTCACTGAGTGGAGTTACATCTTTAATTCCCAAGTGATTGTTCCCAGGAGGCCTTTCATGTTACTCTTGGGGTTCATACAACCACAGCCTGACAGGCTTATGACAATAATGAGCCTGAACTCAGGGCCTGAGTGCTACCCTTTAGCTTTTCCTGTCCACGGGGTCATTCTACCACTTGAGCCAAACCTTCACTTCTGGCTTTTTGCTGGTTAATTGAAGTCTCACAGACTTTTCTGCTCATGCTGGCCTCAAACCGAGATCCCTCAGATTTCATTCTTCTTTTTTTATGTTTTATTTCTTTATTGAGAGTGATTACATAAATTTCATAGTATTGTGGGACAGTGATACCTTAGCTAAAGTCACAAACACATTTTAACCTTCACAAGGTGAATTGTCTTTATCATGGTCTATAAATCTTGTGAACCTTATGAACTTTGACAATAGAACTGTTTCTTCCAAATTGGGTGATTTTACATTTCTTTCCTTTTGCTTAGTGTAAGCTGTTCCCTCTTCCTCATTCCTTCCCATCGCTGCCCTTGAGTTGCTTAGTTCACTTTCAGCAGTGTCCAGTGCAGCTGATGGGCCCCTCTGCTGTATTTTTTTACCCATTTCCCTCTGATTCTGTGCCCTCCTCCTAAAGCTTCCTTCAGGTGTGCATATGTATATGCCATATATAGGGTCAAGAACATAGAGTCATCTAAGAACGATGCGACAAATTAAGAAGAGGTCCCTTGTTTCTTGAGTCCTGTTTACTTTGTCATATCTCATTGCATTTTGACTCATTGCATCTTGAATTTAACATCTGCATATCAGGGAGACCAGATTTCATCCTTCTTGGGTAGTTAGGATTATAGGCCTGAGCCACCAATGCCCAACTGACAGGCTCGCTCTTTTGGCCTCAGAGGCACCCATTTGAAGGTCCATTTTTTTAGTAGGAAGAGGCTACACAACCCAATTTGAGCACCAAGCTTAGCTATCAGTAAACCTGAAGGCTTTGTGGGAAGCCACAGCCCATATAGCATGTGTCACAACTGCTCTATAGCTAGATCACTCCTTCAGCCACTTTTCTCATTCAGGCTTAGCCCCATGATTCCCGAGGAAAGGGCCCTGAATTTCAAATTGTGTAGCCGTGTCCACCACAAGTTCTGACAAGCCTGATCTAACTCTGCTCTCCTTTTGTTTGGCAGCTCTTTTGTGACAGGGACAGCTTGTTGTGGGCACTTCTCACCGCTGAGAATCTGGGACCTCAACAGGTAAGAGATTCCTGAGCCTACCATGGCAAACCTGTGTGTGTACGTTGACATGGGGCTGGGTAGTTAGGAAGGTAAGGAATTCACGGACCAGCTTTTGCCTTCCTTGGCCCAGAGGTGCAGGAGGATGCTGGGGAGGACCCGGCCTTGAAGGTCATGATAGCGGTGATGCCTCTGGGGTTAGCTTGTTGACACTGTTGAAATATTTTTATTCATTTTTCAAGTACTAGCAATGGAACTCAACACTTCTGAAGGAATTTATAATAGTTGAATAATTTCATGTATTATTTATAACTATTGGATTTATGATACTCTTTCTCTAAAGACTATCTGGTTATGTGGCTCTGTAAAATCCCATCTAGCCAGGCACTTCTGGCTCATGCCTGTAATTCTAGTTTCTCAGGAGGCTGAGATATGAGGATTGTGGTTCAAAGCAACCTGGGCAGGAAAGTCTAAAACACTTTTTTTCGTTTGTTTGTTGGTTGTGGGGCTTGAACTCAATGCTTGGGCGCTGTGCCTATGCCCTTCAGCTCAAGGCGAGTGCTCTACCGCTTAAGCCATAGTACCGCTTCTGGTTTTCCAGTGGTTTATTGGAGATAAGAGTCTCAGGGCTTTTCCTTCCTGGGCTGGCTTTGAACCAAAATCCTCAGATCTCAGCCTCCTGAGTAGCTAGGATTACAGGTGTGAGCCACTGGCACTAGCTTCGATGACACTTTTATCTCCAGTTAAGTACCAAAAAGCTAGAAATGGAGCCACAGCTCAAGGGGTTGAGAAAACAAGCCCAGAAACTGTGCCCCGGCCCCTAAGTTCAAGCCCCAGTACCAGCACCAATAAATAAATAAATTTTAAAATCCCATCTATACTTAGAGATGACTTTTATAAAATAATGACTTTTTTTGGTCCGGTCATGGGGCCTGAACTCTGGGCCTGGGTGCTGTCCCTCAGCTCTTCAGCTCAAGGCTAGCACTCTACCACTTGAGCCACAGTGCCACTTCCGGCTTTTTTTCTTTTTGCTTATGTGGTGCTGGGGAATCGAACCCAGGGCCTCAGGCATGCAAGGCAAGCGCTCTACCACTGAGCCACCTTCCCAGCCCCTAAAATAATGACATTTTTTAAAACCTATAAAATTAGACAGAATGATTAGAGCATATCCAGGTTATATTTACAGTTCTCTGACCTGCAGACTTTTATACAGTCCCATCTGATTATTTGCCATTTTATAAAAAAACCTTGTTAAGGGCTGGGAAGATGGCTCAGTGGTAGAGTGCTTGCCTTGCTTGCATGAGGCTCTGTGTTTAATTCCTCAGTACAACATAAGCAGAAAAAGCTGGAAGTAGCTCTGTGGCTCAAGTGGTAGAGTGTTTGCCTTGAGCTGAAGAGCTGAGGGACAGTGCCCAGGCCCAGAGTTCAAGCCTCATGACCAACCAAAAAAAAAAAAAAAGAAGAAAAAAAACCTTGTCAAAAACCTTTTACTTTTATTTTATTTATTTATTTTGGGTCTGGTCGTGGGGCCTGAACTCTGGGCCTGGGTGCTCCCTCAGCTCTTCAGCTCAAGGCGAGCACTCTACCACTTGAGCCACAGCGTCACTTCTGGCTTTTTTCTTTTTGCTTATGTGGTGCTGAAGAATAGAACCCAGGGCCTCATGCATGCAAGGCAAGCGCTCTACCACTGAGCCACCTTCCCAGCTAAAACCTTTTATTTTGAATTAAATTAATTTATTTATTTGTCAGTCATGGGACCTGAACTCTGGGTGTGGGCTCCATTCTCCAGCTCTTCAGCTCAAGGCTAGTGCTCTATCACTTGAGCCACAGCGCTACTTCCAGCTTTTTTCTTTTGGCTTATGTGGTGCTGAGGAATTGAACCCAGGGCCTCACACATGCAAGTCAAGCACTCTACCACTGAACCACCTTCCCAGCCCCAAAACCTTTTATTTTGAAGTAATTGTTGATTCATAGGAAGTTACAAAATAGGATAGAAGAGTATTTGTGAAACATCTTAGATAATATATATCAAAACCAGGAAGTTGACATCAGTATAGTCCTTAGAACTTTATTCAGATCATGCTTATTTTATATACATGTTATTCTATGTAATTTTATCGTGTGTAGACTCCTATGATATGAAACTATTCATTTCACGCTTAGCATAAAGATCCCTTTTGTACCTCTTTCTAGTCACACTCACCCTCTACTCCCCTCCTGTACTGACTCTTACTTCTAACTCCTGGTGACCATTTATGTATACTCTAATTTTGTCATTTTGAAGATTTTATATATATGTTACCACGTAGCATGTCACTTGTGTGTGTGTGTCTGTCTGTGTGTGTGTGTCTGTCTGTTACAAGTGTTTAAATTCAGGTCTTTGCACTTACAAAGTAGGTACTTTTCTACTTTGAGCCACACTCATAGCCCTTCTTTGCTTTAGTTATTTTTCAAATAGGGTCTCATATTTTTGCCTGGGGTGGCCTTGAACACTTACCTCTGCCTCTTAGTAGCTGAGATTACACGCATGAGCCACAATCCCTAGTCCTAGCCTGCCATCTTTTGAGATTGGCTGTTTTGAAAATTCAGCATATTCCTTCTAAGACCCATAGAAGTACTGCTTGTTATTTGTTTTTGTTTTTTTCGGTCAGTTATGGGGCTTGAACTCAGGGCCTGGGCACTGTCCCTGAGTTTTTTTTTTACTCAAGGCTGATGCTCTGTCACTTTGAGCCACAGTGTCACTTCTATTTTACATTTTCACCAAGCAATGTATGACAGATCTATACTGTGACCATATTTGTTGTAATTATTTTTTATTTTAGCTCTACTAATAGGAATGATATCACATCACAGATTTAACTTGAATTTTTCAGATAGCTTCTGATGTTGGACATATTTCTTATGCCTAACTGCCATCTACATATCTTGCTTGTTTAGTAAAATGTCTGTTTGTGTCTTTGACTCATTGGATTTTTTTATCTTTATATATTCTAGATTAATTCTCTGTTAGATATATGGCTTGCTAATATATTCTCCCATTCTGGAGTTTGTCTTTATGTCCTTTTAATAGCATCACATCTTCTTCTTTTTTTGGGGGGGGGGTCCGGTCGTGGGGCCTGCACTCTGGGCCTGGGCGCTGTCCCTCAGCTCTTCAGCTCAAGGCTAGCGCTCTACCACTTAAGCCACAGCGCCACTTCTGGCTTTTTTCTTTTTGCT